ACATATATGTATATAGATATACACATACATATATGTATATAGATATATACATATACACATATGTCCCCTTATTTTATATATTTTTTTAAAATATGTTTTTAGTGCTGTTCACCTAAAAAAAAACTTGCTGGAAAATTTGAAGCCTAGTTGCCCGAAGTTGAATTCACTTCCTGGTGATCACTCTAAGTAGCAGATAGTATGGGTCTTTGTCTTGGGAAGAGGTTCAGTATATTTGGCTTCCAGCAAAAGGAGCTTAGGCTTCTTTCAGAGGTCTAATGGCCCACATGGATATAGTGGAAAGGATGTTGAACTGAAAGTCAGGAGACCTGGGCTCCAAAGATTTCTGTCTACCCCCTTGTGCCTCCTTCACCCCAATAAACAGCCCTGTGGCCTTGAGCAAGTTGCTTGACCTTTCTGCCCTTGTATCCTCATCTATTAAAAGAATGGGTTGGATTGGATGTCCTCTAAGATCCACGGCTCTAAAATAATTTTATCCTTGTTCTAAGTGTATACACAAATGTTGGATTTCTTCATGTTCTTGCAATTCATTTCAGTCACATCTCTTGCTCAGTTATGTTACCATGAGTTTCATACAATGTTAGAGTAAGGAATAGGGTGCAGAAACCTTCCATTGCTGCTTGAATGGGGCCTGATTGGTGTGTTTATAGTCCCACTTGTAGCTGTGGCCATGCCTTTGGGTTATGTTTTTATTGCACAAACTCTTATTGAGTGTCTATTATGTGCAAGGCTTTGTGGAGGATATGTGAAAGAATAAACCTGACCAAATGCTCAGATGAATAACTAGATTGCTCTAAAGTACCTGAGCATATACCTGCCAGAACAGACACAGGAACTATATGAACATAAATATAAAACTTTTCATACAAGTAAACTCAGATCTAAATAATTGAAGTAATATTTATTGTTCATGGGTAGGTAAAGCCAATATAATTTTAACAATGACAATTTTACCTAACCTATTTATTCAATATCATCTCAATTAAATTGCTAAAA